CACAGGGACTCTAAGAGGAGGAGTTTAATGCAGTACTAGAGATTTTATACTACATTGACAATACAAACAGTTTAGAAAAAGTTAACTATATAGATGATTTGTAAGTGATTAGAAATATTATAAAATGATTTAGGCTTTCTCAAATAGTGGCATGTTTTCAATAGCAGCAAATCTAAACCTCAGATTTCTGAATCTTCACTCTGACTTTACTGAAAGTTGAATATGTCCTTGAATTATAACAAGTCTTATCCCCATTGGAAAGTGAAAGGGAGTTAAAAAAAGGAAAGATGATTAAAAAAGATAGTTCCTCAGATAAGCTAGTAGTGAGCACAGAGAGCCCCCCCCTTCCATGAAAAAAAAAAAAAAATTCAACCCCAAGGGCTAAATTTTCAAGCACTGGCCTGAGTAACTGCCAATAAGGAATGCTCAGCAGGTTGAGTACAATCAGAGCTGCCAGTGAGCCATGAAGCTAAGAGAACCTGGATTTAGGAAAAAGGGGGACCTCTGCATGTACAGGAGACTATTGCTAAGTATTCCCTTGTTCTTACTCTTCTAAGTTAACTGCAATTCCGTCTTTTTCCTACTCTCTATCCAAAATATTCATCAATAGGTTATAGTGACTGAATTTTCAGTGCTCATACTGTTTATCTTTACAAAATCAAAATTCATGATTTCCAAAATCACACTCAACTGAATTTTTCTCAACAGATAGGAAGGAGATGAACAAAGAGGTGTTTCTTTTTTAATAAGAAAAACACTCTTGCAAAGGAGACAAAACTATTGTAGACAGTGGCTTGGTAGGCTATTATTCAAAACTACATGCTGCCTTTTCCTGGGGCAAGATGATACTCCCACCCTCCAGACATCAGTTTTCTTATTTAATTCATTCTGGATAATGAAATGCTACAACCGACATGTAAAAAGAATGAATATAAAGATAATGTAAAAAAAAATTTCAGCAAAGAGGGTGATAGCATATAATAAGCTCCATAAGTAGTTACAGCTTTTATTGCTCAGTTTTCTGGTTGGATTTTCAACTTTTTTTTTTTTTATCACCTAAAGAAAAAGGTATCTCATAAGATTCTAAAGATTAGAAGCAACAAATATCCAACATACCATCCTCCAGGAAAGACTGGAATGCACATTTACAAATTAAGCAATCCATCTATTTCTGTTCAAAGTTTATGAAAACATCAAGCTTACATAAAGACCAAATGGAAGAAATATTTTTTTTGGCCTGTGTTGAAGCCCTAATCCTTTATGTGACAGTTTTTGGAGGTAAAGACTATGGGAGGTAATTAGGTTAGATGATGTCATGAGGGTGGAGCCTCTATGATGTGATTAGTGCCCATAGAAAAGAGAATATCTTGCTCTCTGTCTCTCTTAAAAATGTAAGCTCAATAAGGCATCTATTTGACAAAATAGGAAGGAGTTTATTACCAGAAACTGTGTGTTCCTGTGAGCTTCAGCCTCCAGGACTAGGAGAAATGTTTGTTTTGTTTGTTTTTTTTAACTTACCCAGTCTATGGTAAGTTGTTATAGTGGCCCAGCCTGTGTTCAAAATGGTAACATACCACAAGTATATTTGCTTTACTTTGCAAAACATGATACATTGCCTACACGTCATTACTTAAACTGGAAAGCTGAATGAGAAGACTTTCCTTTAACAGAGAGTATCTATCCATATCTTACCCAAATTCACTGACATCCAACTATTTGCAAGTAACCAAGTATGGTTAAGTTCTAGTCAACATGGCTTACATTTTTTAATTAGAACTATGCATGTTTTCTCTTGCTTTTTTTAGTTCCTAAATAGCGTTCAACTAAGTGTCCATTGTTTGGCAAATGTGATTAACATTTATAATCAGTTGACTTAAGTAAAACAAATTATCCTTGATGTCAGTGGGCCTAATTTATTTAAGGTCTGAAGAGCAAAAATTAAACCTTACTAGAAAGAATTCCTCCTTTCTCAAGAGTAAACTACAGCATGTTTGCTGTATATTCAGTATTTGGACTCAAGGCTTTAACATCAACTCTTACCTGAATTTTAGACACTCCAATCAAACCTACACATTTTGGTTTTACAAGTCTCCTAAGCCATTTCCTTAAAAGCTCTATATCCAAATCTGTATCTGTATATCCTACTATATCCATTTCTTTAGAGAACCCTAATTGATACTGGACAATGTTTTCCTAGAAATTCTGAGATATGCTAACATCTATAAGGAAACATCATGGTACTATACTGGAGAGTACTTTTACAACATTTAAGCAGTGCTTCAAATGCGTGAAATTTAGGTACAGAAAACAGTGGTGGATTTCTTTCTTACAAACCCCTTAAGATGAACTTGAAGCTCCTAATCATAGTGCTAATGATGAAGCCAATCATGGAGGTGAAATCCAGCACTGCATAAAGATATTTTTCCTATAGAAACAAAATTTCTTTAGTAATTATAGCATGTATGAACATATTAGAAATTTATCCAAATTGGCATTTATGGTTGTACTTTCTAATTCATACTAGTTGATTCAACTAGTACTAGTTGATTCATAGAAGTGTTATATATGTTACTTTACTCAACTTTGCATATTTGTTTAAATTGTTAATGCAAGGAAAAATTTCAGAATATTTTGAACAGTGACTAAGATGAATCAAATGTTACAATTTTGTCTATCAATAATGAGACAATATGCTAAAACATTGTAATACTGAACACTCAACACTATTTACTATAAAAATTATCACTGGAAACATTACAAAAATGCCATAATTTAGGTTTCTCAATTCAAGGCATGAAAGGGGCATGAAAATATTTTTTAAAAAAACAGATGGCAATATGTGGGAGGGTGAGAGATGTCATACCCAGTTACAATTTCTAATAAATATTTATAGTACTTCAACATTTCTGAAACACTTTCACACATATTGTTTCTTGTTTTCATATATACCTATGCTGTACAATAAGCTCAGCCAACAGGATTTTTTAATGCTAGTTGTCACTGTAAAAACAATAATCGGTGAGTATAAGAGGGTATTGCCTGGGAAGTTCTATCTACCAAGATACTTACCCACATGTTATTTTCTAAAAGAAAACATGAGCAAACACATTGCTGTTTATTAAAATTACGACACAAAAATATAGAAAATATCAAGAACAGAAGGAGCTAAGATTATAAGAGCTTTATAAGCTCTGATCTTCACTTTTAGTTTTGGCAGAAAACTGAACATTGTTACATTTGATTGGAATAGGAAAATATTAGGGTCATATGGTACACATACTTAACAAAGCAATCCTTTGTTTTATTGAGATGACTCCCCAAGTAGCACTCTCATAGAACATTTCTCAGGCATCTTGAGCTAATTCCACTACTAGAAACCATTGCTTTTAAATTGGACTAACTTGAATAGTCACTGTTTTGCTTAAACTAGGATTCACCAAACCTTAATAGTCTATGACTTATTTTGCAAAGTTGAAAGGTTAGTTATGACAGAGCTCTGGATTGTCAACATCATCTAATATATATATATATTTTTTTTTTTTTAAATTCTGCAACTGTTTTCATACCTTCTTTGTGCTTCTGTTTCTTCTTGTCTCACTATACTCAGAATTGTCAACAAGGAGTCTGACAATTCTGATGAATGGAAGTATACCAAAGCAGTTTTATATCAACTTTTATCAAATCTTTTAAAATCAGAATCATTAACAAACAGGTTATTTTGTACCCCTAGAGAACCTGTAGTATGTCATTAAATCATGAGGATGGCATGTTCTATTGCCTTCCATTATGTACTTAAAACAGCTATGTTATCCAAACTTCTCTACCCTCTCCAACTTGATATTACATTGCACTGTGTGATAAGTTTCAAATACATCCTTATGGATCAGAATATACATATTCCAGAAAATATGTGCAGGTGTTGTGCATAGTTATATTTTGTTAGGGGAATGTATGATATTTCCACCACCTCATCACAACCAGTTGAGTCATTTCTCCAGAGAGCAAAATAATACTGTATTATTAGCACAGTAAAGTGAAATAATCCACTTAACTAGTTATTATGGTTGATATAGAAAAATCCCTTTATAAATTAATTATTGGAGATACCATCATAGAAACTTGAAGGTGAAGATATGGATTATATATACTATCTCTTCCTCCTAAATTTATATCTATTTAGATAGAAAGCAGATCTTTGGGTATCACCATAACTTTCAGAAAATTCTTCTGGCCAAAAATATGAATTTTTATCATCTATGAGTCATGTAGAATGTTTTACTATATCACTTTTAATCCAATTCTACACTAAAATGGAGGAATTCTTACATGTATATGTTAGGAGGATTTTTTTTTTTTTTATTTTTAAAGAGGCACTTATTTATTTGTTTGTTTATACATGCACTGGGTACAGTCAGAAGTGCGGGAAGGTGAGAGAATTCACCAGAGTCAGAGTGGGGAGCAAAGCAGGCAGAAGGACCGAAGTACACTGCTGAGGGGAGCAGCAGGCGGCAGGAGAGGTCTACACGCCATGTGGGACCCTCCTCCGGTGGCCGGGGAGCAGCCGGGGATCAAACCATTGCTGCAGAGGCCGTGGGGTAGCTTCGCAACCCAGCGCTCAACCGCTGCACCACCGGGAAGGCCCGATAGGAGGATTTTGAACTCATCCCATAGGCACAATTGACAGCTACATTTTCCTCTGAATAAAACCCCCAAAACTAAGTAACTTCTACACATCAGGCAAATGAGGTAACATTTACATAGGACTAGACAGGAGAGGCTGAGACACAATCATGACAGAAATTTCAATTTGCAGTGATTGACATTGTGGAGGGATCTCACAAACCTGAGTTTCTGGTGTGTGAAAGGTTTAATTGCCACATCTGGTGCCCAAATTTTTAGGACCTGCATATGAGAGACAAGTCCCCAAAATACAGCAAACATTTAAAAACAATGGGGAAATTATAGATGCCATCAAGGTGATGTCTTTGCTTCACATCTAGGAAGAACAATTACCAAGATCACCCTTGAAAATCCTGTAGCACCCACTGTACCTCAGACACCAACACATACTACCAGGAGATCTACTCATCTTTGTGACAGAAGGTAAGTGGAGAATGGTACAGAGCCGTGCCAGGGGACAGAGATAAACAAAATAGATGAACCTTTAACCAGAGTATTAAGAATCCTAAACAGCAACACATACTGCAATCTAGAAGGAATGAATAAATTCTTCCAAACATACAACACTCCCGCACTCAGTCAGGAAGAAATAGAAAATCTAAACAGATTAATCATTAGGAAGTAAATACAAAGAGTAACAGGGGGGAAAAAAAAAAAACAAACAAAAAACCTGTCCCCATACTTTCAAAGAATACCTATCCAGCTCAAACTTGAAAAGGGGGAAAAATTTCCAAATTCATTTTATAAAGGCACCATTACCCTGATTTAAAAACCAGGCAAGGAAATCACAAAAAAAAAAGAAATCTGATAATCATGGTCAAGTGGGATTTAGGCTGCTATGTAAGGTGATATATTTCATCCCCATAAATGGAAAAAAAAATGTGATATTCAACATAATAAAAAAAAATAACAAAATGTGCTCAGAAATAAAACTCAAGTCTTTCTTCTAAGACCAGGAATTAAACAAGGATGTCTAATCTCACCACTATTATTCAATATAGAGATGGATATCCTAGAAAGAACAATTAGGCAAGAAAAGGATATAAAACATAGCCAAATCAAAAAGGAAGACATAAAACTGCCACTATTTGCAGACTACATGATCCTGTACATAGAAAATCCCAAAAACTCTAATGAAAAATTATTAGAAATAACCAAATACACTAAAGTAGCTGGTTATAAAAATACTGCAAAATGTGAGGTATTTTTTTTATGTGCAGATAATGAAATTGTAGCAGGCAAAATTCAGAAAAAACAGTTATTGACAATCACATCAAAAATAAATACCATGGATAAACGTGACTGAAGAGATATAAAAACCTATACACTAAAGACTATAGGAAATTGTTGAAAGATTAATGCATAAATGTCTTCTGTTCATTTGTTAGAAAGGCCATGTTACCTAAATACAGAAATAATCAATTTCTATCACAATACCAAACACATTTTTCACAGAAATGGAAAAAAAGGGGGGAAACTATAAAAGACCCCAAATAGCAAAAGCAGTCCCGAGAAAAAGAACAAATTGTATCATGCTCCCTGGCACCAAGCTATTATGAGGGATAGTAATCAAAACCATTATGGTATTGAAATAAAAATAGACATACATATCAATGGAACAGAATTGATGGCCTGGAAATAAACCTGCAAGAAAAATTAAGTATTATACTCTTTCATGTTAGCCTTAAAGATATACTCTTTGCCTTAACTCCAGGTAAGTTATTTTGTCTATATGGAAAGATATTGTTCAGAAAGAGCATCCATGTGAATGTATTGTGGGACAAAATTTTCAAAGTTGTAGCTAATATGTTTAACTTAGGACAAACTAAATGATCAACTTGTCAGCACACTTATTCAAAGAACTGTCTCTGCAAAAACAAATGCTATGATGTGGATATTGCTGTTGAATTTTTTGGTATGTATACTTTCTAAAGTAAGTGAATGATTTCTGGGTTTTTTTTTAGTTGTTTGATAATATTGCATTTCTAGCAGAGCACTTATATTTCAGTGATAGTCTAAATTCACTTTTTACTTTGAAATGGATAGTTTAAAAAAAAATGATTTACCAATTAGGAAAAGTACATGTGTTCTAAGGCAAATTATATGTATAACATTTGGTTTCAATGTGTGCATTTTGCATGTTCTAATAGTTTAAACATTATAATCAGTGGTACACATATTTCTATAATGAAGACTGAGTTTAATTCCATCATACTGAAAACAAGAACATTATCTTTCTACAGATTTGTCAACAATACTCAAGAATGGTAACATATGGAAGGAGTAAAACCACAAGAAAACTAATGAATGCTCTCAGAAAATGTACAGACTAATTTTCCTCCATAACATTTCCATTGCTGACAAGCACTTAAACAACAGCATTCTTAAAATCATGTACTCAGTTAAATGGAGCAACCCTTCACATTTAGGAATTGAGTTGTTTATCACTTTCAGGTCTTCAGAAGGCAAAAGAAATAGCCTATTAATTCTCTCTTACAGTAAAAGAAGCTCATTTTAAAGGTGCTTTCTAACTGGAATTCTCCTCTGAAACAAATTGAAACAGCTAACCATTTCTATTTAATATCAATCTCTCTAATAATTCTAGTTAATTAAATGTATCTAACTATGTATATTTATTTAAAAATAAAATTTCAAACTGGGATGCTAATGTTTTCTTCTGCATAGGGAGAAAATGCTGGGGGAAAGAGGATAAGGAATTAGAAAATAAAAAGGTAATAACTTTGATGATGGAGAAGTAGCTAACACATTGTAACACCTACATTTCTGCTTTATGTCCAGGGCGGGTATGAGAAGGGAAGATAATGATTTGAGGTAGTGGTTAAAGGCAGCATTTAGCAATTATAATTTTGTAATGCAAACTTGAAGAGAAAAGGAATCTGAACCTCAGAATTGTAACTTATATAAAAAGGGGTTTTTAAAGGAGTCTTATTTCAGGACAGAGTATTTGGCAATGCTATATGATCTCTGGGATGACAGCTTCATGATTTGAGGGCAAATTTTGTGGGCAAAGGAATTTTAGTTAACCTGTACACAATGGAGAGAAAAACAAAGATTACCCAAATACATATTTTTGTACCTTTCTGGGATCAATCAATGACACTTAGGAATATAAGTATACAGCATTGATACATATTTTAACAAACTTCTGTAAGAAGAAAAGCAGGAATATTTGAGGTAATGCAAAAATTTATGGCTATGAGTGCGTGGTGAAGGTAGAGGAAAAGCATGGCAATTGCAATTCCTTAAAAATATTTTGTTCTATGCAGTACAGAAGATATTCAGCAAAGTAGTAAAATAAACTGGAGAAAAGTAAGGCTTTTGATGTATATACTGGAGAATAAAGAAAATAAAATCAGCAATTAGGAGGAAAAACTGTCCAAGAACTGATTTTAAGGAACAAAAGAGATAAACCTTTTTTTTTTTTCATTTTTGAGTTCAGAGGGATGGGAATCACAGCCTGGTAGGAACCCTATTCTAAACTATGATTAGGGATTTTTTTTTTTTTTTGCTTTATCAGCTTTACACTACGTATTCAGAATGACAATCTGGTAGAGGAAAAAAAGAAAATGGTTATTATACATCCACAAATAGGCCAGTCTTACAAAAAAGAAAAATTAGAATACCAAAGCATATAAAAATATAAAAGGGAATGACAATTGACAAAAAGTAACTGCAGAAGAAATTTAATAATTTAAAAATTATTGAACAGTTAATATATTGAATAATACAAAGTTAAGCACAATCTTCATAAAAAAGATAAATATTTTTAAAAAGAAAAAATAAGGAGTGTCTCTAAATTTAAAAGAATACCAAATTGTAAAACAAACCAAAATAAAAAATTCTGATTTAGAAATATCACAGAACGAACTAATAACCCTTTAAAAAACTGTAAAAGGACATATGGGGAGAAGATGTAGTATGTTGTGGGTTAACTGAGAGGGCCAATGTCAGAATAACCCAGTTTTTTTTTTTTTTTTTTGAATACCTCTATAGGTAGGGTAGTAGAAAAATTCTTAAAATTGAATACTTACATTCAAATTTACTTATTTAGTAACAGAAAATATATCTACATTTAATGATATGAGTGAAAACAAACAGGCTGGTATATATTTTCCAATGAAAACACTATATGTTTAAACACAAAACATAATTAACTGGGTTCTTTGCTTTCACCTTGGTTAAAATAATAATCTTCAAGTTATTTGATAGGCATTATGAATGAAATGTTATAATGCAAGTAAAGTATAGGTATTTAAAATCTTTAACCTCAGGATCATGGAAAAAAAAAAAAAACAGACTTAACATAAGAGGTATTTTAAATTGTGAAACATTTTATGTAATCTATAAACTGTTGTAGAAAAGTTAGTATACTCTGCTAGGCTTTTCTCTTCATAGAAATATGAGTCTTTTGTAATTTTCCTAGTTTTTATCCTAGTGGGGTTGTTAAGACAAAAATGGTATCAGCAGATTAAACCTAAACAGGACATGAAAAAACTTTGGTAATTTAACAATATTTTAAGAAATCACAAGGTTAAAAAAAAATTGCACTTATATTTCACAACTGAATTGTCTATCAATTACTAGGATTTCATATGCTATTCTTAAAATATTGTTTCTTAGGGAACTACCTTAGGCTATAGTTTGGGAAAAATGAGATAAATCAGGTGTGTTTTGTGGAACTTTGTAGGCACAGGTGTACGGTAGCACTGGTTCAGCGATAAGCACTGATTCTAACCCTCAAGAGCAGTATAGGAAAAAATGTTCTCCCAGTTGGTGGGGTTTGGGTTCTGTAGTGTCATTCTGTTTATATGGAACAGCAGGAGAGAGTTCTGTGAGTGACCTCTCTGGGGAGGATGAAGATGTAAAAGGTGAAAGAGGACATAGGAGGACTTAAAAGAATACACTGTGTTTTAGCATTGGTACAGCAGGGTTTGTGAAAGGTCATCGGTTCTGTTACCTATGTTATAATATTCATCAGTAGCTCTTGCTTTAATTTCTTCATTGTTGCAACTTGAATATTAGGATAATTATTAAGATTAAGTGAATTATTGTAAACAAAGCAATGATAACGATGTGTAGAGAAAAACAAAACATTTAAATCAACAGTGCAGCCTCACTTAAAGTGAATAACCAAAGTTTCCATTTGACCTATGTCCTGAGAATAATGTCCTTTAATAGGATGAAACTAATTTTTTCCCATTGGGTAAAGGAATATTCTAATTCACAATTTGATATTGAATAAAATTCATAAAATCATACTGATATTTACATAATTTACTAAGTTAAATTTTAGAGCAAACAAGAAAATGCAAGTGGCTAAAGAACAGAGGGTAAATCACCACTGCCATGTTAAAGTAAAAATGAAATTAGACATGTAGATGAGTGTGGCCAGGGGAAAGAAAAATGTAGTGATTCTTACTAATAACCTTATCGACAAAGTTTAAAGTTTTTCATTTAGTTTTGGAGGTTAAAAAATGTAATTAAAATTATCAAGATAATCAATAGAAAATTAGATAAATCATTTAAAGGCGGGAAATGTTGAGATAGCAAAACCCTTAGGATCCATGTCAAGGAGTCAGTAACTACTGCTTCAATTTCTGGTTTGTCACAGGATAATAGTAATAACCTAAATTTAAACCTCTTTACCATCATCCCTCCAGAAAAACCAAACACGGCAGTGCCAGCATGATTACTACATGTATGTTTTAGGACTGGGCACAGATCAATCTACTTTTATTTGAAACTAAATATTCCATCAGAAACAGCTCCAGAACCCACACCTAGCTAGAACATTGGTACACTCACCCTCAGAAAGACAGATAATACTTTGAATGCTAAGTATTTAGAAAAAGTGTGTAATATGATAGAATAGCTATTATGAAATCAAGAGGTTTCAGGTTAATTAGCAGGATAACTGGGTTGTAGGATGTATCCTTTGGAAATTTGGGGTGATAAAGCAGAAAGTAATGGTCCGTCTAAAATACAAGCCAATTACCAATTTGTAAGACACACCCTTGGTTTCCTATTTTATTGGTGCTATAAAATGACCATAATTTGGTGTCTTTAAACACATTTTCTTGTGCTGTTATGTAAGCCAGAAATCTCAAGTCATTTCACTAGGTTAAAATCAAGGTGTTATCAGATTGATTCCTTCTGGAGGACCTAGGGAAAAATAGTTTTTTTTTACTTTCTTAAGGGTAAAAAGATGGCCTTTGCCTTTGACCCTTTCCTCTACCTCCAAAGCTCATCACTCAAATATCTGCTTCTATGATCACACTGTCTTCTCTCTCGGAATCATCTTATGTCCCTCTTACAAGAATCGTTGGTATTAAAAATGGATCTACCATAAAACCCAGTAAATCCACTCCTAGGTGTCTATCCAGTAAATACAAAAAACACTAATTTAAGGAAAATATGCACGCCTATAGTCAAAATATTTACAGTATTTACAATAGCCAAACTATGGAAACAACCTAGGTGCCCAAAAATAGAGGAGTGGATCAGGAAGATGTGTTACTTATACAAAATGGAATACTACTTTGCTATCAAAAGAGATAAACTCTTGGTCATTTATGGCAACTTGGATAGAACTGGAGACAATTACACTAAGCAAAATAAGTCAGAAGGAGAAAGACAAATGCTGGATGATATAAATTACATATGGAATATAGAGAAACAAAACAAAGGGTTGCAAAGCCAAACCAATAGCAAACCCTAGCACATTGTGAAGCAGAGTATAAGAATGCTATTTTAGTATCACCATCTGTAGAACTGAGCCTACCAGACAGGGAGAGATGAGAACAAAGCAAGGAGGGAGCACAATGACTATGCTGCAGGACTATGGGTATGTCAGTGCTGGGTGTGGTGTGGTAACACCTGAAGGGGGAGATCCTGTATATCATTTGTAACCTAATATTACCTCAATACAAAAACAAAAGAACCATTAGGATTACTTTGAATACACTCAAGATAAACCAGAATAATCTTGCCATTTCAAGGTTCTCAGTCACAACAGTCACTTTTGCCACGTCATGTAAGACAGGTGCTGGGATTAAGACATACATATGTTTGGGGAAATTGTTCAACTTCCTCTCTCAATTTAAAGAGGGCCATCAATGAAACTGCATTTTACTACGCCAATGGCAGAGGGCAGTCTTGAACTAAGAAACCTTGTCAGACTCCCATATTTTCCCCTAAGACTGTACTCAGCAGTTATCATTGGCCCAGTGAAAAATAAAATTAGGAAATGAAAATAAGGTAGAACACATCTATGCAATCCCTCAGACTGAAGAAAAACCAAGGAAATTAGAATAAAAATATTTCAAATGATAAAAATTCTTCCACCAATCAAATATATAGGAGGGAAGAAAATTACAACACAACATTCTAGCCTGAATAAAATATTCTTAGATAAGAATTTTCAAATATGAAACATATCTTAAATCAGGGATTCAAAAATGCAGGATATAAATATATGAAAAACAAAGTTACAAAATGAGAATTAATCTGACATGAAAACATTGGGCAAAACCATCACTGCTCAGTTAAAATTTAAAAAGGAACATTGAGAAGCTTGAAAGTAGATATGACAATGAGGATAAGGCTATCAAAAGGTACAAAGATAAGATAAAAAAGATACTTGCAGGGGACAAAGAAAATCTATAATATGTAGAATTAGAGTATCTGAAAGAAAAACAAAAAAAAAAGAGCAAAATAAATATATAATAACAATCTCTTGTTTTAAAATGAGTTGGAGAGAAAGCTAAGGAGTTAGACCACATAAAGGAACACATATCTGTCTACCTACCTACATATATACACACCATTAAGTGACAAAATGGCAGACTTAGAGCAAAACAAATTTTATGAACATATAAATGGATTTGACTTATTGATTGATTTACAAATTGGTTCACAAAATGTAGTTCTGTGTTGTACTCAAGAGACATTTTTAGAATAAAAGGACTCATGAAGCCTATAAGAATTGCAAAGGTTTACAGGTAAAAACATGAAAATATCAAGAAAAAAGAAATTTACATTCTAATATCAGGCAAAGGAATTTAAGATAAAAATAGGTTAATTAAGACAATTTAAGTTTCTGAAAGCCCCAACTCACAATGAAGTATTAACATTTTGAATCTTTCCACCCAAAAAATAACATAGCAATAATCTTCATAAACAGAAGTTACAGGATATGAATAAACAGAACCCATTTAGAGGACACTTAAGACAGTCACACTTAAACACAACAATAAGGTCATAAAGTTGTTAACATAAATCCATCAGGTAGATTTTAAGACCATGTCTTAAATATTACACATTCTAATAAAGAATATGATCTTCTGCTCATGCACACATAAAACATTCATAGAAAATTGCCTACATGGGGCCTCCCTGGTGGCATGGGGGTTAATCATTAGCACTATGAAGCAGTCCACAACTACTGCAGCATGAGTTAGATCCTGGCCAGGGAGGTGACCCACATGGTGCAGCAGACCTCTCCTGTCTCTCCCGCTGCTCCCCTCAGCAGTGCATTTCAGTAGATCCACCTGTCTTTTTCCAACTCTATCTCTGGCGAATCCTCTCAACACCCCTAACCTCTGGCCTACACCCCAGCTCTTGTATGCTTAAATAAATCTTTAAAAGAAAATTGCCTAGGCATTATATTTTAAAACAGTATCACTAAGTTTCATGCAATTGAAATGTTATACACACTCAGATAAAAATACAAAGTAGAAGAAATAAAATAGAAATTAAAAAATGCATCTGGAATTTTGAAAGCTTTCTATTGAAAGTCCTTTGATGAAAGATACTTAAATTGTAGACCTCTTAAAATTATATATATAAATATTTCATAAAAAAGGACATTTAAGCAGTGGAGAGAAGAAAAAATAATCTTTTAAGTAACCTATAAATGAAAATTAAAGAATGTAGATATGAACTAATCAATAAAATAGAAAAGACAAAAATAGATCAAAAGAAAGGACAAGGTAAGGAGTAATGGAAATAGAAGAAATTGATGAGGCAGGACAAACAAATTATAAGCAGTTAATATCTAAAATATTTAGAAAATAAAAAAGGGAAAATGGAAATTTTTAGAAATAAAGTTATAAAACTGAACATTATAAAAATGTATTAAGAATGAGATATTTTATAAATCGATCCAAAAATTTTTGAAAATAGATGAAATGGATAATTTTTGAGGAAAATACATGAATCAAATTTGATTTTAGTTGAGGAAAAAACTAAACAGACAAAATTCTATGTAGGAAACAAATTCATTAAAAATATATCCCACAGAAACATCAAAGTTCATATGATTTTCACTAGGGATGTTTAGCAATATGTAAAAGACCAGAAAATTGCATTGTGACAAAAATTGTTTCAGATAATATAAAACTGACACTTGAACCTGATGGATGGAGTCCTCTAAAGAAAATCTATACACTAAGTTATGAATATTGATGCCAAAATTCTAAATAAAACATTATCAAACAGAATCACAGTATTCAGACAATATACACTGTGAGCAAATTTATCTATCTCTGTACTTATAACTTATGTTTCTTTGTTCATTGCTTTTCAGACTAAAATGCTTCTGTGCAGTCACTAGCCATAGAAAGGATTGGGACAAACAATTAAGACAAAAAGATGGCAAAATAGTGCTGATGATCTTTAAACTTTAAAACTAGACCTCTGCAAAGAAATCAAGGTGATTTGACATCTACAGTGAAGACCTGAACCAGCCCTGATGACCTCTATTGCAGCTTTGACCAAGAACAGAACTAAAGACAGAATAAGAGAGAACCACACACTTTGAGAAATACCTACTTCAAAACCTAGTCCAGCTTGTGTAGGAAAATTGAGGAGCATTTGTTCTGGAACTGTGTGACTACTAAGGAAAGGTTGGTTTGATTTTTGCTTCAGAAGGGCACTTGTGTTGTTTCAAAGGCAAAAGGAGAATGAAGTTTAACTATAGGATTTTGTTGGCTGGAGCGAATCCACCATAAATCGACTGACTGACAAAATGTAAGAGCCAACGATTGATTTGCTTTCAGAAGAATGTTCACTGTAGTGATCTGTCATTGATCAATTAAACATGCAAATTAGTTATGGTATTGCTTGTCATGGTTAAATAACTGCCATTAATTGAAACTTTAAAACCTCTTTTGGTATTCATGTATTACCATTATTATAGATAGCTCTCTAAAACTTGTAAGAATAGTTAACACCTTGACCTTGTAGATCAGGAGATGCTCCTCTCTAGCCAAGTGGAATTAGTTTAATATTTTGTGTTTTCTACTTAAAATACATATTATTTTCATCATCTAGAAGGTCTTGTTGATAACCAAAGATTTTCTTGCAAACCCAGGATGCTTTAGATATCTCTCACTGAAATGGGCCTCCCCTGGTGGTCTAGGGGGTTAAGTCTCAGCAATATCACAGCCTCAGCCTGATTTCAATCCCCATCCAGGATGCTAACCCACATGGTACAGCAGACCTCTCCCGTCTTGCCTGCTGCTCCCTTCAGCAGTATATTTCAGTGGATCTGCTTGTTCTACTCCCCACTCTGTCTCTGATGACTCCCCTCACCCCCTGTATCTCTGGCCTACACTTCTTCTATGATAAATATATTAAAAAAATAAATTTATCACTGAAATATTATATAAAGACAATTTATTTAACGCAGGGTGGATTATATTATAAAAATTGTAAGTGCTATTCCTTTCTTAATCTAAATTTAATATAGAACCCAAAATATTTTATCTGCCTTGTATATACATTTTTAGTTTTCTGTTCATATGTTTCTCTATTCCCTTAACATTTTTTTTTTTTAATAAATTTTATTGTTATATTCCCCATACAATTGCAGCCCCCCCATTCTGACCCCAATCCCTCCCCTCCCACCCCCGCCCCCTTAAAAGTGTCTCTGGTTCATAGTTTTTTGTTGATTTTGATTTTCACTTTCTTATAGTTATTCATTTTCCTGGTCCCTTATTTAAGTTTTCTAGATTCCTGCTATGAGTGAGACCATCCGGTATTTTTCTTTTTCTTTTTGGCTTATTTCGCTGAGCATGATCCCTTCCAGCGCCATCCATGTTGCTGCAAATTGCATGTGTTTATCTTTTTTGAATGCTGAGTAATATTCCATGGTGTATATGTACCACATCTTCTTGATCCAGTCATCTATTTTTGGGCATTTGGGTTGTTTCCAAAGCTTAGCTATTGTAAACAGTGCTGCTATAAACATAGGGGTGCAGGTGTTCTTTGGAATTGATGTTTCTGTGTCCTTTGGGTAAATACCTAGGAGTGGAATTGCTGGATCATATGGAAGTTCTATGTTTAGTAGGTCCAGAAATCTCCATACAGCTTTCCACAGTGGTTGGACCAGTTTGCACTCCCACCAACAGTGCAGAAGAGTTCCTTTTTCTCCACACCCTCGCCAACATTTGTTGTTGCTAGTTTTTTTAATATGTGCCATTCTCACTGGTGTAAGATGGTATCTCATGGTAGTTTTGATTTGCATTTCCCTGATGACAAGTGATGTTGAACATTTTTTCATATGCCTGTTGGCCATTTGCATTTCCTCTTCAGAGTCTATTCCCTTAACATTTAACATCTACTTGTAAGATATTTTTTTTCATTTGTATTTAATGTGTTTAGTTTAGGTAATATCTTTATGCTACTTCTTTTAGACAGTTGAAAAGAAAGTGTTTTTGATTTGTTTTTCTCTTACTTAGATTGATTTATTTTGTATATATATTAGATATTTTCAACTCTGTGCAAAAGAATGTTAGAATGCTGTTGCAGATTGGTAATTACTGACTCAATATCTATTCTTCCTTCTTTAAAGATAAGACCCCAATCTGAGTGGACGTGTCCACTAAAAAAACATGTGACTCCTTTAGGAGTTGTTCCCAGAGATAAAATTAATGACATGGGGCTTTGAGGAAAACCTCTATAAAGAAAAGACTTTTCCCCTCCAACCTCTCCTACAATGGGGATGATATTCTGGAAGTGGAGAAACATTTTCTGATATATATACTCTACAGAATAAAAATAGCACAAGATACTTGGCACAGAGAACTTTATAACATCACTAGCTAGTCCTAAATTGCCTTCATTCAAATTATTACTAAATAATAGGGGAAAATTTACTAATTGCTTAAATTGTTTATATATTTTTAAAAAAATTTACTAATTATTTAAAATATCTATCATTTGCAGATAAATGAATCCTAACTTTTGAAAGTATTTTTGATTCAAGGATATTAATACACAGTAATAAGAACTTATACTCAATATTCATAAAATAGTAGTGAGTTATAATTTTTCACAGTGACTTCATGGCATGATGTGCCATATATACTTAGCAACTATACTTAAGACATATTCTCTATGAAATAGGTATGTATAACTAAAAAACAAATATTTGCTGTATATACTTTTAAGAATATGTTGCATAAAACTTTATTTTGTAAGTGTTTGGATATCTTATTTTGTGTTCCAAGTGGCTATAATGGTATTGTTCATACAAACAAAGAAAGTAGTAAAATGTGATTCATACTAGTTGTCTGGATATATGGACTAAAAAGTCAACTAAATATAAGCCTTTGATATTTTAAAATTGTCTTTACATCATTATGTAGATATAGTGGAGATATTCATATAGTACTGAGGGAAATAATAGCTATATGCTTTTTAATGATTATCTAAGAAGACAACATTGAAATCTGTAGTCACGAAAAATTCAATCACCTTTTGAAACCACACTATGAAAAGAGATGTGGCTTTGCATTTATTATCCTTCTACCAAGAACAAAATTTACTCTTATTAAGAGGCTCTGCTTAACCGACCCTAAAATAATTTAAATTTAATCATTAATTCTTTACTAAAAACTAAATATAACAAAAGAGGAATGGATTTTTATGGAAAATTAAAGAACCTTTTGATTAATGCTGAGCTAAAAGTTTGTTACCTCTTGTTTTAAAAATGCTCTCCTATTTCATTATGCAAAGTTGGTTATAGTGGAGCATTAATTTATGAAAGAATAAAGCAAAAATATTTGGTTTTTACTTGCTGCCTGAAATTTTCTCACTTTCTCCTGCTTCTCCAGTTGTTCTCTAATTTCAGCTGATTTAAATATGTGTATGATTATTATTAAAGATACAAACACTTAAACTATATTTTGAAGCACAGGAATTGTCCTTAGTCTTATAGTCCATCACACTAACATTCATTTAAAAGGAATTATTTTAACATGTGAGCATTTACAATGTCACAGGCACACTTCTCCCTGAGATAAGATTCATTACCCCAGAGGTGTGAATTCTCTGTGACCTTGCATTCAGCGAAAAGTGCACCAGTGTCCTAATTTTGACTCTGTGTTGCAGTTTCTGGAACTTCAAAAAGATTCACACACTAAAACTGGATTTTTTTCAAGAAATAAAATTTTGACATGTATGTTTAAAGATTTGACCAAATCTGGAAGCAGGTGAAATTTATAGGAGATGATGGGAAAATTTGTTTTATTTTTCATATATTTTCCTTTAAGTCATGTTTGAGTTTCATCAATTATCTCGTTTTTTCTGTGTTGTAACTCAAGCCGTTGCAGAGGGAATAAAAATTGCTGGATTTGATATCAGAAGATCAGAAAAGAATGGGACTATTAACAATTTTACAGCTAATTGCCTACGTAACCTTAAATAAAGCAATTAACCTACACACACTCAGTTTTATCATCTGCTAAATGGAAATTACTATTCCTTCATATATATATATATATATATATATATATATATATATATATACAGATAAAAAAGAATGAGATAATTTTCAAGGCAACTAATAAAGTGGTTGACATATTGTATGTCATTAAATATTTGGCTACTTAAAAGTTCAGTTTAAAAACAGATAAATTCTGACATGAATATATTGGCTTATGATGATTCATTGGTAAGTAGCTCAAACTGCTTTATCAGATTCCAGGATGACAGGCATTGATTTTGTTCATATAATTATGCCACAATCTTGTTTACCCCAAATATTTCCTTACTATACAGTATTGGACAATTTACTTTGAGTTAGGGTCACACAGAAGAAAGTTACCCTGGGATACATTTGTACTGGGAAACTATAAGAAGATTGCATTAGCATGTGCTGAAGGGCACATATCAAATGAAAAGGAAATGAATAAAGACAAAATAGAGTATACTGAAAATAATTTTTTCTTATCTTTGGTTACGTGACTGGGTTGGGGTTTTCATTGGAGTATGGGGAAATTGTTGTCACTGCTCTTATGGCTCAAATGCCATATACATTATATGAAAATAAAGTATAATGAAGGTAGAGTTTTTTTTCTGTTAACTTCATCTGAAAATTGGGTAAAATTAAGTATGATTTAAGATTTTGTTAGTGTATTTCTATACTGTAGAAAATAGCTCATTTTTGACAATGGGTTTGATATATTTATACTATAACACCTATGAGTTACTAAAGAAAAATTTTTTCTAGACTTATGTTAATTCTGTGATCACTACGATCAAATTAACAAATCCCTAACTGGGACATTTTATATTTTAATACAATTAATTATGATAATTATCTGTGATATCAAACCAAATATAGGTCTATAAAAAGCTTTTTTTTGCTCATTGGTCACCAAACATCAATGACATAATAAAACCATTATTCTCCAAAGTAACCTCAATTGTTTGGACATCATGAAAAGTTATGCTAAATGAGCTTTCCCTGTCCTCCTAGGCTCTACAAGGATATTGGAACCACCTATCAATGATTCATAATAAATTAATGAATCCTATATCAGGGTTTATCTGTATGCTTTAATATCCAGATCATTACTAGCTTTCCCCCCTTTGGTGACAGTTATCATTTCCATTTTTATATCTGAAATATTTAGTTATCTATTCTGGTCTACTATTAGAAGTTTGATATAAAAGATTATGAAATAAAAGTCTGAAATATAATTTTAACTTGTTTGTATATTACAGCTGAGGGATTTCATGCTTTATATATGTGTGTTTTTATATAGTTACAGGGTTAGAAGAATGCTATTTTTGTATAAAGTATTATGTATCAGAACCATTACCATTACATATTATATTTTCAATTAAATACTAAGGAGACACTGGATATACAAGGAAATACTAGCCAGAACACAGATTAAAAATAAGATTCATATCCACAATAAGCAATAACTAGTACAGAAAACAAACTAATTATCTATAGTGACCAGTCCAGGAAACCTTCCTATTAACTGTAAGTCAAATTTGTAGGGTGTCAAAACAACTATCTCTAGAAAGACATTTCAGATAACCAAATAACAATTCTGTAATCAATGGCATCAAATGATCAGGACTTGATTAACTGATAACCTCCCTAATATTTCAACCAGAGAAAGCTAACTATGCACACCTACCTAAACACATAGGATGCCCCACTTCTAGTAAGTCTGCTAGCAGCTTCTCTATACCAACAGCCTTCAATCAGTACATACCTGAAGCTTTCCCTCTTTTTGACCACAAAACTTTTACACTCCCTTGTCATAGAGTTTCTGTCAAAATGCAAGTGAAGTGAGTGACTTGTTCTCTTCTAGAACAAGTTCACAGTAGACAGCCCATGCTTGTACTCATTTCATTTTATTTCTACAGAGTTCTAAGCTATACATGAAATGAGTTTAGTTAATATCTTTGGTGCAAAAATTTTTATATGTTAGAATGTGTGCCAGTTACAAAGTTATGACAATGATCTAGATAGGTGAAATTCATGCCTTTACCCAAAGACAACTGGCCAAAAAAAGCAGGTAAATGAAAAAAATATAAACCTCAGTTTAACTTTGAAGATAAAACTAGATGTATTTGGTAATGGTTAAGGCCAAAACCCTAAAATTAAATAAAACAAAACCACAATGCCACCTGCAGGATAAGAAAAGTAGTTCAATTTTCTATGTTAACTGCTACAGATATTTTATAAATAGAAAAAAATTTAAACTAGCAAAATGGGAAAACAAAAAATATACCACATGGCACTTGAAGATCTCAAAGAAACCTGACATTACAAGGAGAGATAATCTCTCCAGAATCCAAATATTTTATCCAAAGGCACCAAATATTTTATCTTCCTATCATAGAGAGAGAGAACTGCTATAATAAGAAAAAATAGAAGAAAAAAAAATAAAGACAGGTAAGTCTTAAATTTTACATCGAACCACAAAAGACTAAGTAGTCAAAACTATCTTGAGAAAGAAGAACAAAGTGGGAGACATCACACTGATTTCTAGCTATACTATAAAGCTATGGTAATCACAAGATGATATTAGTATAAATCAGACACATAGAGACCAATGGGACAGAATCAAGAGCGTAGAAATAAACTCATGTTTATATCATCAACTAATAATTGACAAGGATGCCAAGAAATCTCAATGGGGAAAATACAGTGATTTCAATTTATGGTGCTGGACAAATAGGTTATTCACACACACACATAAAAGAAAGGAACTTGATGCTTATTTACATCACTCACAAAACTTAACTCAAAATTGATTAAAGATTTAAATGTAAGACCTGATGCCAAGAACCTCCTGAAAGAAAACAGGAAAAAGAAGATCTGAGAAATGGGTGTTGATGATTTTTGGAAGGGTAGGATACAAAAGTACAGGTCATAAAATAAGTGGTAATTGTATCAAACTAAAGATTTTAAAGGCAAAAGGAAAGTCCCCCCAAATGAAAATAAAACCATGTAATGGAAAAAAATTCAAAAGTATATCTGACAAGGGGTTCATATCCTAACTGTATAAATAACTCAGATTTCAATAGCAATATAAAAATAATTCAATTAACAAATGCACAGAGGGCTTGAGTAGCCATTTTTTCAGTGAAATATACAAATAGCCAACAAGACACATGAAAAGGTACTCAACATCTTTAATCATTAGGGAAGTACAAGTCAAAGTTACACAAATCTATCACCTCATCTCTCTTGAAAGGGGGATTATCAAAAAGTTGAGAGATCATAAATGCTTTTGAGGATGTAGAGAAAAGAGAAACCTTGTGCACTGTTGGTGGGTTTGTAGAAAGTTATAGCCACCATGGGAAATGCTATGGTGTTTCTTCTGAAAATTAACAATAGAGTTACCATATGATCTAGTGACTACTCCACTGCTGAGATTATATCTAAAGGAAACAAAGACCACATGCTAAAGATATAGCCACACCTCTACTGTTCATAGCAACATTATTTACAGTAGCTAAGACTTGGGAATAACTTATGTATTCATTAATGGAAAATTAGATAAAAAGTATGAATGGATATATATGTATATTTCCATATATATTCATATATACCATATATATATATATCCATACATATACACCCCATATAAATGGAATATTATCCAGCCATTAGAAAGGATAAAATCATGTCATTTGTAACAACATAGATGGAACTTTGAGGGCATTATGATAAATGAAATAGGTCAAAGAAAGACATAGAAAAAGAGATCAAACTTGTTTATACCAGAAGTAGGAACAGGAAAGGATAAACTGGATAAAGGTAGTAAAAAACAATAAACTTCCAGTTATAAGATAAAGAAGTTCCAGAGATATAATGTGTAACCTGATGACTACAGCATGATATACATGAAAGTTAAGAGAGTAGATCCTAAGAGTTCTCATAACAAGAAAAATATATATATTTTTTGGTATCTATAATAAGAGATGATGAATGTTAACTAAAATAATTAAACTTATTTTGGTAATTATTTTACCATACTTAAGTCTAAACATTATACTGTAAGCCTTAAACTTATGCAATGCTATATGGTAATTGGTTATCAATAAAATTGTTAAAAAATGTAGTTATAAATGATAATCAAGAAAAAATACAACACAAATAAGAAAATTAAATATAAAAGGGATAGATCTTCAATAAGTAATGATAAAAATAGAAAAGTTATAGCATAAAATGTATGTTAACAAAACTGAATCAAAAATAACACTTTCAAATAATTCCTAGTCAATAAAAATATTAAATCAGAACTTAAAATTTACCTCAATTAAAATTCAAATTCCAGATAACTTTGCATTATACTCTATCAGACAACAAGGACATGGAAATACAAACTCATGGGGAATTGGAGATAATAGAGAACTAGAGAAAAAACAAAGTAGAAAATTGGAATTCTTTAATGCTAATAAAAATTTAATTCCAAAACCAGATGTAAAAATTGATCCTATTCTCATTGACTAGAACATTGTGCTTATCTTACCTTTATTCTCCAGGTCAGGAATCTCGAAGTGGCTGGCCAGGGTGATTCTAATTCAAGATTTCTGTCTGGGCTGCAATCAAAGTGTCAACAATGGCACTAAGTCATATCAGGGCTCACCTGGAGGAGCGCAGGACGACATTCGAAAGTTCAGTCATCTGGCTGTTGGCAGGCCAGAGGGACTTGTTGGTTGTTGAAGGGAGACATCATTCCTTGACACATGGTTTTCTCAAAAAAGCTGCTCCCGACATAGTGCTTGCTTCTCCTGAATGATATCTGAGAGAGAAATATATGGGAAATAATCAAGAGGGAAGTCACAATATTCTAGAACATATTATTCAAAATGGCATCTCATCCTTCTGCAATATTCCCTTCATTAAAAAGCAGTGCTTATGTCAGTCTGTAATCAGTGAGAAGGGTTACACAAGTGTGTGAGTACCAGGAGGCAGAATTCCTAGGAGGCTATTCTAACGGCTGCCTAACGTGACAGATAAGGGAATTAAGAAAATTACAGGCAAGTTCATATACATCGATGCAAAATCCCTTTATAAAATAATAGTCATTTGACTGTATCAGTGTTTTAAAATAAAGCTATATCTTAGCCCTCCCCAGTGGCACAGCCGGTTGAGCGCCGCACTGTGAAGCTGTCCGCAGATTCTACAGCGGGGGTTCAATTCCCGGCTGGCCAGGGACATTCCCACATGGCGCCACAGCCCTTTCCTGTCTCTCCAGCTGCTCCCCTCAGCATTGTCTTCGGTCAGTCTGCCTGTTTCTGTTCCCCACTCTGTCTCTGGTGAATTCTCTCACACTCCTGTGCCTCTGACTGTACCCCAGTTCTTGTATAATAAATGAATCTAAAAAGAAACTTTATTTTAACCAAATTATACTTGTTCTGGAATACAATGGTGGTTTAAGCGTAAAACAATTATTGACTGCTTTGTAATTTACAACATTAAATATAGAGCATAAAGTTGGAGAAATAAACTGAACAGATGTAGAAAAAATCTTATGACAAAATTCAACATTTATTCATGAGAAAAACAGCAAATTAGGAATAGGAGAAAATTCTATAATCTTATAGCAAGTCATGCCAAAATTTATAGCGAATGTTCTATTCAATGGCAAAGAATCATTTTGTAAAATCAGTAAATAGACAAGGATAGCCATTATCATAGTATTCAGTATTTTCCTGGTATTCTTAAGCAGTTTCAGTAAGAAAATTACACAGATAGGAAAACAAGGAAAAAAACTTACTTCACATTAAGATTGCCTATACAAAGCTACTGACAATCTTTATAGCTAAAATATAATAATTTTGTTGAATATTACATCAATATAAAATCACATTTCTATACTATTACAGTAAATATAATGAAAACCATTAACTATTGAAGATACTATAACTATACAGGGATTAATTTTTAAAAGCACACACACACACTTTATAGCAAAAACTACAACTCTTTAAGATTGGTAAAATTTATTTGCATACATGGAAAACTATTCCATAATAAATTGAGCAACAAGTATATGTGTGTGTGTATGTATATATATGAAAAATATATATAAAATCATTTTATATGGAAATATTGCTTGTTCTAGCTCTAATGGTATTTTTTTTAAATTTTATTTTATAGAGGCATGTTTTATTTTATTTTATTTGTTTGTTTGTTTTGTTTATACATGCACTGGGTACAGTCAGAAGCGCGGGAGGGTGAGAGAATTCACCAGAGCCAGAGCAGGGAGAAGAGCAGGCAGAAGGACCGAAGTACACTGCTGAGGGGAGCAGCAGGCGGCAGGAGAGGTCTGCGCGCCATGTGGGACCCTCCTCTGGTGGCTGGGGAGCAGCCGGGGAGCAGCCGGGGATCGAACCGGCGCCGCAGAGGCCGCGGGCAGCTTCGCAACCCAGCGCTCAACCGCTGCACCACCGGGGAGGCCCATAGCTCTAATGGTATTAAGTAGACATTGTTTTATATAATAATTTTGAAAACCTATTAAGGCAATAAGGCACATTGAAATTACAAACAATTGGAGACATTCTAATGAAAAAATTCCTCTTGAATAAATATCTACTAAAAATAAAACAATGTAACTTTTTAAAAAAAACTTTTCTGGGGCCTTCCTGGTGGCACAAAGGGTTAAGCACTGCACTATGAAGTGATATGCAGCCTCTGCAGCACGAGTTCAATCCCTGGCTGGCGAGGGAGCAACCCACATGGCGAAGCAGACCTCTCCTGTCTCGCCCACTGCTCCCCTCAGCAGTGTGTTTCAGTTTGCCTGTTCTGTTCCCCACTCTGTCTCTGGTAAATCCTCTCACACCTCCTTCCCCATATCTCTGGCCTGTATCCCAGCTCTTGTATGCATAAATAAATAAATCTTTTAAAAAATAAAACCCTTTCTGAAGAATCAAATCTTGTGCTACAAAACATAACTTGAGGACATCATGGCAACCCAGTAGCAAATACATTAAAATGAAATAATGTGGGTTCAGTTCAATCTTAGTATTCAATAACCATTAGAGTTCTTTATTTTGTATGACAAGTATAAGAAAAAAAGAAAATCTAGAATTATGCTTTCACACTCCATTCAACTGAAGAAATTAATCACCTGAATTTAGTTCTGAATTACAGTCCATATTTTGTATCCTCTCCTTTTCTTTTTGTCCTTGCTATATAACCTATAATATATAGCCATAGATAAAAAAGGGGAAAAAAGGAGCAGCCTTTTGTGAACTGAAATGGAAGAGATTTACACTGTTATTTGTTCAGAAGTGTGTGAACAAAATGATTTAGTACTAAGGATTTGTGCAGAGATGTGTAACAGATTGACCTCACTTTGAAGGTGACAATTCAAGTAACTGGAAAAAAAAAATGACAGTGCATTTGTAGATTTATAATTACATGTTGTGAAAAATTTAATAGAATTAAGGTAAAATTTTTAGAGTGATACCCTTAAAATTTTGATTTCTCCTTTTTTTCCTTTTTTTTTTTTTGTTTGTATAGAATCTTACATTCTTTCACCATGTAAATGAAAAACAACATTACCATTGAAGCACATGTCCTAATGTATGTTAATGATGCAGAGACAAGTATTTTCTCATCTACTTAGTCACAGATAATTTTTTTTCAGGGAATTAGGGCTAGTTGAGCACTTTTCATATTGATAATAAATTAAGATTACATATTACTTCTCTTTGATTTTTCTTGACATATCATAATTGTTAGGATGCTAATTAGCAAATGGTGTATTTTGATTTTTTAAAGAACAGTCTCAAAGACCCCTGGCATATGGCACACGATCACAATAGTTGCATTATAAGTTATGAAAATGGAAGAATATGCACATAGTTAAAGTTACCTCAAGACAATTTTATTTTTTGAGGTAGAGGACAATGGTTTATCTAATCTTGGTAGAAATTTCCATCAAAATGGGAAATACAGTGGATTCTTCTGAAGTCTGAATTTAAGTTGAATCTGCCATCACTTTGACAAAGGTGAATTATTTTTATTCTATGAAGGTTTTTCTGCATGTTTGATTCACTGAAAATACATGAGTTGTGTGCTATCATTTCAGAAAGTCCTAGTCTCCTTGCATTCAGTGTCACGTTCTTTATTCCAGGTAGAGTAATTAAGCACTGTGTTAAAGTTTTATGTATAAGAATAACATTGTTAGAAATTATATAGAGCAACATTTATACTGTTTTACTAAAACTAAAACATTAAGAACAGTGAAATAGAAATCTTGCATATATACCTGACATGTAGTTGCCAAGCAATTACTAAAAATGTTCATAAATGGATTAATAACATCCTTTCTGCTTTTATTTATTTATTACATTAGCAGATATAGGTTTCATATTACAGTAGGATGGCTGTCTAAGAATTGCTTTGGAGTAGAACGTGAGGAAGGGGAATGTAATCTCTGGGTGACCGGTCACACATTAAAACACAGTAGTATAAAATGATACACAGAAATAACATGAGGCTATTGGCAACATGACTGACACATCCAGTGCCAGTTCTCTTCCTTCAGGAAGTCTCTCTTAGTCAATGTACTGTCCAGTTGGTATTGGAGTTAAGTCCCGGTGCCAACACAATCATCTTGAAAGGAAGAAACCTGTTGTGGGATAGACCAACAACAAAATCGGACGTTTATCAAAGACCCTTGGCACAGGGTGAAGGTAAGGAAGCTGCACAGTACAGAGGCTTATGAGAGGAAGAGAGAATGGATTGTTTGTATTCCTCTGTTTGGCTTGGTCAAGCTCTGTTTGCAAGTTCATTGATATTTCTAGAAGAAATGACCTCCTAGACTGGAACGAATTTAGCCTTTTGCTGCTGGTAACTTTTTTTTAAAGAACTAATTCATTAAAAACCAAAAATTTCCCTTTTACTCATTAAGAAATTTAAAACCTGACCATTTGAATGCTCATGTTTGAGTTTCCTCCATATAAGAAAATCTCAAACGTGACTTAAGACTTACATAAAGCCTGAATTTTCTTTTGTGGAAAGGGTTTAAAGAGTATTAAGCAAGTTGTCTAAATCCTTTTGCTGGGAAAGTAAAAGATATTAGAGTTGGCATGCCAAATGTGATTTTCATGGTTTTCTCAACAGCTTTATTCACCTTTATTCAGAGTGAATAGTGTTCCTGCAGAATTCATGTCCACCTACAACCTGTGAACGTGACCTGATTTGGAAACAGGATTTTGGCAAAAGTAATCAAGTTAAAATCAGGGTAGGCCCTGCATCCAGTATGAGTACTTCTTTGTAAGAAGGAAGAAATTTGGACACCAAGACACACACATACAGAGAATGCATAAGAGGACGGAGACAGAGATTAGCAGGACAAAGTCTATTACTGACAGAAACAAAGGAAGAATTCTTTCATTTCATAGAGATTTCAATAGAACCTGGTTCTGGTGGTTATTTAATTTTGAATGTCTTACCTTCAGAAATATGACACAAAATGGTTGTTTCAAGCTCCAAGTTTGTGGTAATCTGTTATGGTATCCCAAGGAAAGAAATTCATATTCTACTGCTTAGAAGTTGGGTGCTACTATAGCAAATACCTAAAAAATGTGAAAGCGGCTATATTCAATGCATGCAGATATTTTTCATTTGCACCAGGAAGTATGTTCTCTCAAAGGTAATGGGTAGAGTCTGGAAGCATCTAGAAGTACATGATAGTAACACCTAATTGCCTTGAAGGGACTATTGATAGAAATATAGCATTAAAGGTGATTATGGTGAGAACTCAAAAAGAAATGAAGATAACCTCAT